ATATATATATATATATATATATATATATATATATATATAAAATATATATATATATATATATATATATATATGTATATATATATATATATATATATATGTATATGTATATATATATATATATATACATATATATATATATATACATATATATATATATATATACATATATATATACATATATACATATATATATACATATATATATATATACATATATATATATATATATATATATATATATATATATATGTATATATATATATATGTATATATATATATATATATATATATCTATATATATATATATATATCTATATATATATATCTATATATATATATATATATATATATATATATATATATATATATATATATATATATATATATATATATATATATATATATATATATATATATATATATATATATATATATATATATATATATATATATATATGTATATATATATATATATATATATATATATATATATATATATATATATATATATATATATATATATATATATATATATATATATATATATATATATATATATATATTAGGGTGGTTCTAAAAACAATTTTTTTTTGAAAATGAATGCTGGCACAACCTGAATATGCTGTATATAACAAAAAAATGCTGAACTCAAAAATTTTTTTTAGTAAAATATATTTTAAGGGGCTGCTACTGATCCTCGAACATTAAATAGGTCCCTAATATTATAAAAAAAAAAGTTTTTTAAAAGTATGTCATGTTGGGTCTCAAACGAAGCGAATTTATATAAAAATTTCAAAAATATTAATCATTTTATAATTAATTTTTTATTTTAGATTTTAGTGAACAGAAAATTACTTTAATTATAATTAATTATAATTTTTTTTTATCAATGTTTTTTTATAAAATTAATATTATTTTTGAAATTTTGATATAATTTTATCTTGTTTGAGACCTAACATGACCTATTTTTGAAAAAAAAATTTTTTAATAATGTTAGGTACCTATTTAATGTTTAAAGGTCAGTAACAACCCCTTAAAATAATTTTTATTCAAAAATTTTTTAAATCCAGAATTTTTTTATTATATACAACATATTCAGAGGGTGCCAGCAGTCATTTATAAAAAAAGTTGTTTTAAGAACCAGTCTAATATATATATATATATATATATATATATATATATATATATATATATATATATATATATATATATATATATATATATATATATATATATATATATATATATATATATATTTTATAAACTTGAATGTTCTCGAAATATCTTAATGCGGGAAAATAAAAAAAGAATATTTGTGAACACAAAAAACCTGCCAAATCTACGAAAAACTAATTCTATTGGCTCAAAAAATACTAACCGAAATTTCTAGAGCATTCAAAAAATACTAACCGAATGTCCTGAGTATTCTGTTGAAATATTTTAAAACATTGCATTACTTGAATTTTATTACGTTTTCGTGAGATTTCTAGCATAAATTATTTTAAGAATATAAACAAACTATTATTTTAATTCTTAGAGCCACATCTACAAAGCTATAAATGTTTTAAACAATAATAAATGTTTTAAATTTATATTTTTTAAGTTGTCAACATTTTGTAAATATATTATAGATTTTATTAGTATATTCTTATTTTATATATATAAGGGATGTATTTTTTATGTATGTAATGTATTTTTATCTATGTAATTTTATGTATGTCTATTTTATTCAAATCTAATCTTTTAAAGCAATTTGTGCGATTGATTTTGTAAACAAAAGTACTTTCAATAATAACTGCGTTTTCAATGAAATTATTAATAATCGTCAAAATTAATACAAATAATTTTAACCACTAATCCATTTTCCTCAGTGTACCCGATAACTTATTCTTTCCCCCAAGAAAGAAAACTTTTTAAGTTCTTAGAAATTGGTTTACTAACTTCAATTATTTTTGCTTCAGCCATTCTTACAAACTAGTTATACTTAAAGTTATTTTTTTCTGTTTTAAATACTAATTAAAATTATAAAGCCCACTCACTAAACATCATCAGCATTATTGTGAAGCAGTTCCGCTTCCTCCTCACAAAGTAATTTAACGTTTTTAGTTAATTTCTATCTAGCTACAGTAACTCAATGATTTAATCATTTCATTTGTTCATCTTACTAAGAATTGTTTCAAATGTGTTAAACTTTTTAAATTATGCGAAGCATAAAACAGTTATTGAAAAACTTTTTTATTTATAAATAAATCATCTAGCGTTAGTTTTATTGGTTGAATCTTGTTGGACTTTTCAGCGGCAGGGGACTGCATTAATTTGGCACCCTTTTTTATGTGCCACAGCGTAAAAATGACTAAAAAATGAATGGTTCTCTTGACTATTTCCCCTAACATTGTGAGTCCCGGGGCTATAGCCCTACTACCCCTATCCACCTCCTCAATCCGCAACTGGAAATAAGACATAAGTATATAAATAACTAAAAAATCTGGTTTTTCGCAACTAAATATTATTTCCGTGGTCAATTATTGAGTGCGATCGCACCCGCTTCCTGACCAAGCCTGACATATATATATATATATATATATATATATATATATATATATATATATATATATATATATATATATATATATATATATATATATATATATATATATATATATATATATATATATATATATACATACATAAATATGTATATACATATATATGTATATATATATATATATATATATATATGTATATATCTGTGTATATATGTATATCTCTCGCTCTCGGCCTGTATCTATATATCTCTGGGCCTGTATATCTCTTGCTCACATTCCCCTAAAACAGTTTACAGGAGCATTTTACAGCTCTTGCAAAAGTATGATTTTTTCTCATAAAAGTATAACTATCATTGAAACTAAAATAAAAAACAGTCATTTAAAAAAATAAATAATTTCTTAATGAATTTCCTGACAACCTTTCATCTAAAGTAACTGATAATTTAACTTCATACTCCTGTCTTGATAAAAAGACAGGAGTATGAAGTTGAAAAACTTCTCTTTTTCATTGCTTAGGACAGACAGCCGATCTTGAACTTAATCTCTTATCTGTAAGAGAATAGGGCTTGCAGTGCCTTATGGATTTTGACAGGCAAAATCCTGTTATTTACTGCAAACAACTACCACAATACTGTCAACATTCCTATATTAATGTATGGCAACCCTCTGATTGAGTCCTCTTCTTTATATCTTTTTGGATTATTGTTCAGTACTGACTTCTCATGGAAACCATATATACAATTGATTGCAAAGTTAACTCTTTACCGTGCTCGCCATTTTTCTTACTCCTGATTCCACTCTTCAATCTCTATACCTCTACAACTCTCTTATTTGTCCCTGTATGGAATCTTGTTGTAATATTTAGGCTGGTTCTTCTAATAATGCTCTTTCTCTTTTAGACAAGTTCCAAAAACGTTTTGTAAACGTAGTTGGATCTGCTCTATCTGCCAAGCTTGAGCCTCTCTCCTATCATCATAAGGTTGTATCTCTTTTCTACAAATATGATCATGGCTGCTGCTCAAAGGAGCTAAAAGGAGAAAAGTATCATCCTTTTACAGTATTGGTCCCTGCATCATCTAAAAAATTTTATTCACCTAGTTTTTTCCCCACACTTTCCCACACTTTAACCCTTTGGAGCTCTCTTCCATCTTCATGTTATCCTGGGTCATATAACCTACAACTTTGCAAGTTTTCTGTTAACTATTTTCTGGCTCTTTAACTCTATTCTTTGTTTCCTAGTAACTCCCAACTTAATAGTGGTTGTTAATCTTAGATTAGAAAAAAAGGTGTATCAAACAATGGTTGTCAGAAAAGATTAAAGAGGTTTGTGTATCAGCATGTGGAGAAGTAATAGCTTCAGGAGAAAATTGTAGAAGTAGAAAACTTGGAAAGTGTACATTACACATGGTATAAGTGAGCTTTAGTTAAGGAATATAAATGCTAGAGATTTTTCATATTGGAGAAATATAAAAGGGGTAGGCTAAAGCTAATGATGATAATGATGATGATCATGATGATAATGATGATGATAATGATGATGATAATGATGATAAATTATCAAACATCACCATGTTGATCATGATGGTGTTTGCATATAAATATACACACATATATAGAGAGAATATAATATAAATTTCAAAGAAAAATATTTATTTTAGAATACATAATTATTTATGCAGCCCCAGTCATAAACCCAGCCTTGACTATTTTTTATCAAAATTCGTTTGATAAAAAATATCACATATTTAAAAATAAATATATGATATGCAATAATAAGCATTTAAAAACATGCTTTTTCTCCAAAGTATTTAAAAGTGCTCATTTAAATCTGTTTTGAAAATAACATGTACTTTTTTAATGCTTTTAGACTATGAATTTAGATTTTAATCGTATGTTTACACACAAACAACTAACTATATCGAAATCCTAAACTTTTTCTAAATACAGGTTATAAAAATGAGCTCTTACATATTAAGAATAGTTTATCTAAAAGGAAAACTGCTTTATAATTAGGTTCAGGTAGTTTAAAGACAAAAAGATGGATAGCTTATAATAACAGTAACAACAACAACAACAACAACAACAACAACAACAACAACAACAACAACAACAACAACAACAACAACAACAACAACAACAATAATTATAACAATGATAACAACAACAACAACACAATAACAATAACAAAAATATCAATAATACTGATTTAAAAATATAAAGTATGACGAAATAATAAAATAAATAATTTTATATAGTAAATAATGTACAACTATACTATAATGTACAACAAATGTAACTAATGTATAAAAAATACATATAAATAATTTTAATTACTATAATGTACAACAAATTGAAATAATGTACAAAAAATACATATAATTAATTTTACATAGTATATTTACTATGTACAACATGTAAATGTACAACAATTAAAAATAATGAACTAATGCTTACTTTCTCTTCTATGTTCTACTGACATAATTATTATCTATACAAATCAGTTTCAATATTGTTTATTTATTTTAGTAATAACTTTGCTTATGAATTGTAATTTACTTTAAGAAGTTTTATTGTTAGAAGATATTACTTCCCGCCAAAAAATTAATTGATAGAATACGCGTACGCGTCTCGAATACCGAAATATCAACATCCTAAAAGATAATACCAATAAAAACTTATTTCATCGAGTTCAACAGAAATATTTTTAAAGTTAACCATTTAACAATTATTGGCACTTTTTGATCACTACTTTAATCAAAGAACATTTTCTTTATCAGAGGATTTTTTGATGTTTTATATAAGAAACTTTCGGACATAAGAAACTTTAAGCGCAAACTCAACTTAAAGTATGTTCATCAGCTCAAACATAATTAAGTTTTTTTTTGTTTTTTGTTGTTTTTTTTTAAAAAATTTGGTTATTAAGGTGCACCCAGAAGTTCTTTAGGTTTTATCACTGGGAAAGAGCATTTGGTTAGGAAGGTTCCTTTCGTGACACAAGTTTTGAACTGACACAAGTTTTGAAGTTTATAACTATTAACTTTGAATCTTACTCACAATGACTTTAATCAAAGTTAAATACTTATAGTTAGTATGTAAGGTATAACTGCCCCTTCTAAACGCTTTTAGTTTTGTTTTAAATTTTCAATTTAGCCTACAAAGGTCATTCCTTTTGAAAAACAAGACTTTTCAATTTTGCCCTGCTGAATAGCTGTCTCTAGCAAAATAGCTGTGTAAAAAATCTTTTCTAAACTTTTTAAAACTTTCAAGTTTTGTTCCAATGCTTATTTAACATTAAAAAATTGTTGAAATCATTTTTATCAATTAAAGTTAAAGTAATTTCTTTGTTTATTGAATTCTTGATTAAATTTGCTTTCACGATAATCATAAAATTTTTTATCATAAATTTTTCCTTTAATGACTTGTCAAGGTTTACTTCCCAAAAAAATTATTTCCTACTGATCTCTATGATAATTAATTAGTCAAAATCATATAATCCGATTAATATGATAATTGTATACTCTTCCTAATTTAAATATTGTTGTGTTGTTGTTGTTTTTAAATCATTTTTTGTTTCAATATATTAAAAAAAATACATTAGAGGTAGTTGCAAAATATTGAATGGAAAACATCAGACGTGGTTGTAAATAGTTTTTTTTTTTTACCTTGTTGGAAGCAACATCTTTGGCTGCAAGCGACCACTATTAGAGTTGGAAGTTACTGGAAGAGAAAAGCAATTATAAACAGACGTCTGTTTTCTGGATAATTATTTTGATGATAGATATGGAAATAATGGTTTCGATTGGAAATTGCAGCAGCATGCAAGAAAAACCACGGAGAAGAGTGAGGCTTGACTCGGAATTGTGGAGAGGGAATAAAAGTTTCTATGCCAGCCTGAATCCAAGAAGTTATGTTAGAAGCACATTTGTCAGCAAGAAGACAAAAGACTTCTACCCAAGGGCCATCTAGAAAAAAATTACGGAAAGAGTCCCAGTCACCCTTAAGGTAGTTGTAAGAGGTACGATAAAAGGGGGATTCTAAAGATGAATAAGAATGTGATAATAGTTTTGGAGAGATCAAATCGTGGTCAGATACACTCAATGGTAAATGTGGAGAAACTAAACACTGACTAAGATCAGAAACAAGATATAAGTCGAGTAGTAGTCTGAAAAGCGAGTTGAAGTATCGACTTTTTGAGTTAGAGACTGAGGAAGGCAAAAAGTGTGGGCCTTAACGTCTGCAGAGTAACTGACACTAGAGCCAAGTCACTCAGTGTGATGAGCCATAAAGAGAGAGGGCTAGGTCAATTTTATCAGAAATAACATCAAGAAGAGTGCAGTCTTGAGATAAAGGAGTGGGTAAAGAGAAAGGCAATAGAGTGAAGTGACGCTAAACGAAAGCACATAAAAGAATAGTCAGTGGATTCAAACTCTGAATAGTCAGAGTTCAATAAACCTGACTACCAGCCAGCCTTAGAACCATCAAACTGAGTTTTAGAGCTGTGCCCTCATTAGGAGATAATAGAATGAGTTACTTGTCATTTAAACAGACACAAGCAAAACCCATGCATTGAGTCAAGAAGATCCAGCATTCAACATCATAAACTGGAAACGATATATAATAAATACATCTACGCCAACCTAATCGATGAAGAAGGGTTGCGAAGCTGGTCAACAGATAGAATTTGTTTACCTTTTAAGTCTTTGCCTAGGAGGCTTTCTAGAAGACAGTAGCCGGATGCGTTTAACATCTGCCCAAGATGAGTATATTTATCGAGATACCCTCTTTAGCCTTTACTCAACCAAGAGTCTCAAGACATAGGGTATTTTAAACTGGAGTTAGCTTCTCGTAACCTTTGCCTAAAAATACGTATTCTACAAGGCAGCAGGACATGAAGCAGGTTGTACTGGGTTACATGTTACCAATAGCTTGACTTTTTACTGAGTTTTTTTATTAACTGTTTTAAAATGACCCGATAAACGCTGTTTTTACAACTGTAAAACTCAGATTAAACCGCAGTAAACCAATTTATTTTTTACTAATAAAATCTATTTTTAGCTACAGTTGCGGACTGGCTTCTTAAAATATATCTAAAAGAAAAATTTTAAATATATATATATATATATATATATATATATATATATATATATATATATATATATATATATATATATATATATATATATATATATATATATATATATATATATATATATATATATATATACTATATATATATATATATATATATATATATATATATATATATATATATATATATATATATATATATATAGATAGATAGATAGATAGATAGATAGATAGATAGATAGATATAGGTATATAGATATAATATTGAGCGGCCATGACACAGTGGTTAGAACGCTTGCTTTAGAAGCAGAAGATCCAGATTGAAACGAACTCTGGACATATTTTGCGTCACGGTAAGGAAGAAGGCGTAAACTTTCTAGTTAAATGCACTTCCGCTGTGTTCTGTGACAAGACCGTTAGGTCTTCTTGGGGCACCTAAACAACAAAATAAAAAAATATATATATTTCCATGTCAATGCAACAATTATGCAAAGATCTGAGAGTTATTGCATCTCAAATGACAAAATTTTTTTTAAAATAAAACTGCGAATAACCAAAAGATGTGTCACATCAATAGCATTTTAAAGAGTCTTTTACAAGCAATGCAGATAGCAATGGGATAATGTCTTTCATTGTGATATCAGCAAGTAAATGCAGCAAAGTCTTACATTGTGATATCTGCAAAGCAATTCAACTCTCACTAGCATAAATGTTTCAAGAAGATCATCAGAAAATGTTGATCGCAGTCTAGTTTTTATATTTTTCAGTTTGCTAAAAGCCTTTTCACAGCTAACTTTAGTAAACAAAAGGGTCAGTAAGTAAATAAAAGCAGGGAACATTTTAAAACAGCATAGCAGACAACTTTTACAGGTTTTTGTCTTTGTACATTCAATTTTTATACCATTAGAAAAGATTGTAATCACTTCATAACCTTCATTATTTGCATGATCTTCATAATTTTTCTTAGCAAAGTCTTCATGTAGTGTTTCGCTAAGCATTTATAATTTTGAATGAACGACAATAATTCTGTTAGTAAAGCTTCAGCATTAAGACCAGTGAATTCAATAATTCAACTAAAGGGTCGATAACCCTTTAGTTGAATTACTGAAACAGATAAACCTTTTCCTTGAATCTCCTTGGATAAAAGTAGGCAGTGTCTCTGAAAAGATGGTCTTTTGATAAAAACCACTTAATGCTAGAAATTATTTGATCAGTGACTCTTTAAAAAATTTCACTTTGAAAAAGTGTTTGAGAACTTAAAGGTCTTGAATCTTCACATATTTATCCAGGCATTTTTTCTTCCGCACAGTCCTAGCTACACACAGTTGTGCGCCTAACGTTACCTCAGTATCGTTTTAAAGCATCAGCTCATTTATTTTGTTTATTAATTATTTAATATGGTGTCACACTGACATGAGAGCATGGAAAGAGTCAGGTTGAGAAGTTATAAATGTTTCAAAAATTCTTTCTAAAGCTGCACGTTATGTACACCACCGAGTCTCACCAATGTCTTGCAACTTGTGTGTTTTGCAGGTTTAATCATAAGTAGTTGGTAAAGTAGAAATCCTGAAAAATCCTGAACTTTTCAGCGCAAAAAGACGCTCTTTTACATTCTCTTTGACAACATTGTGCAAAATAATAGACTCTTTATCAGCAACAGATCTTGCGTGCTATCTATCTGAACAGAAAACTTCTTGCCAGCAACCTCACTCACAACTTTTATCATAATACATTTAATTGCTGAAAGAATGCCATTTACTGTTGATTTGATTACTTGTAAAGTTTCCAATTAGAAGTTTTAATTTTACTTCAAAGATTTTAATTTTTCTTAATATACCTTAAAAACATTGTCTGTGTGTATAGTCAAAAGTGTATTAAACTATCTTCTAAAATTAAACCTGATTAATTCCGATGTCCTCTTTATGGCAAATATTTTTATCCCCTAAATTTTATATCTGCCAGAAATAGTTTCAGACATTCAATATTGTTGAGCATTTTCGAGTAGCAATATTATTCCCTTTTACTAACGACTCGATACCTTTTGAACCTCTTGTATTAAAAAGTGTTAATACTACGATTATTTGATGCCTCATGTTTATTAATTCTTTGATGCGCATGCAAAAACTTTGCGTTGCCAGTTGTAAAGATTCATTGCATTAAAGTTTAAAAATAAAAATTTGAAGAATAAAAACTGATGAGTTAAAAACCATTTTACTCATCAGTTTTTATTCTTGCAGTTATCTATTGCCGTTTAACATTATTAGCAAAACATCACTTCTATATTAACATAGTTATTATCAGTAAAACATCGCTTCTACATTAACATAATTATTATTAGCAAAACATCGCTTCTATATTAAGATTCTTAGTCACTAATTCTGAAGGTTCATTTACAAAAAGTGCTTTGTTAATAAACTGTGTTATTACCATCATAGAACTTGTAAAACCGTCTAGTTTTTTTTTTTTTTTCTTTTCCCCACATACGCATCAATGCATACACTATTAAGGTTAAAAAATCCAATCCGAAAAAGTGCTGTTTAAATAATTTAAAAAAACTCAAGACCCGATAACGCACTTACTATGTAATGTAATAACAAAAAATTTAACCTTGGAGCCCGATATCCATTTGAGCCAAGGGCTCACCGGAAAATTTTCCGGGTTTCTGCTAGGCCAGTCCACACCAGGTTAGCTACCAAAAAACAAATAATATCAAATAATTACAAATTATTTTTAGTTTTAGCTACCAAGTCAAATAATATAAAATAATTACAAATTTGTTAAGAAGAAAATTAAATAGTTTCTTATCTTGAAAATTATACACAAAATATATAAGAAATTTCAAAAAACTCCAAGAATTCAAATAAATAATCTTTAAAAAATTTTTGACAAAATACTATAATATAATTGATATATAATATATAATATATTACAAAAAAAATGTTAAGAACTTTCTATACTTTATACATAAATAATGAATTAAATTGAAAATAAATATAAAAAATTTGATAGCTTTGCTAAAAAGTTAAAGAATCAAGAGCATCCTGGTATACTGCAAGTAAACAAATGGCTTCCGTTCTAAAAAAAATTGAGATAGCATTAAAAATTTTAGGATTGAAAAAAATATAAATTTTATTAAAGCTTATTAGAACTTGCAATATATCTTTTACTAAGGTGGATAAACCACTGTTACTAAGGTGGTATAGCCAAAGGTAGTTTGGCGTAGGTAAACCTTTTGATTTTTATATTTTCTTTATACGATCAATATACTAGTACTAAAAAAAAATCACTTTTTTTATTCGATTATCATACAAAAACTAAAAACTAAGAAGAAACTAAAAAAATCATTTTATCTAAAGAAGATTTTTATTGTTTTATTTCTTTTATGTCAAATTACGTAATACGTATGTTATATAACATATAGGGTAGATTAGGGTAATATGAGCATTCTTAAAGATTTCTTAGATGTTACTCAAGACCTAATAACGCACAAACAATAACTTAGTAATTAAGTAAAAATCTTAAATAAAATTTTAAAATTTTTAAGTTTTCAATACGTTGCAAACTGTAATTTATTGCTTATTTAGAATACTTTTGGTTTTATAAATATTTATTGATATCAATACCTTTTTAGCTAAAGAAAGATCCCATATCTTCTCAACATTGCTTCGTACGCAGTTTGCAAACGATTTAATGCATTCATAATCCTGTTGTTTACATTTGACACAATTTTTTTTGGCTTTTGCAAAACAAGCTGAGCATACAGTGTGTCGACAATGACCTTGACATTCTTGTTTTTTAAGTTTTAAACTTCTACACATTTTTAAAAAAGAAGTTAATATAGTTTTAACAAGATTTAAAAATAAAAATTTTAAAGGTAAAATAAAAAATCACAAAACAGCAGAAAAAAAGAAGTTAACAAACCTATTTAAATTTTGTAAACTTGTTCGAAATTTTTGTACTTACCGAGCAGAACAAATAGAATTAGGGTTTTTGGAACAATATTTGGCAGAACACTTTGGTTTGCATTTCTCTTTAATGGTTGGTTTTTCTTGAATCGTACTTAATGTACTGTGAAAAAAATCTTTCGTTGGAACTTTGACAACTTGAGCTAAATTTTAAATAACTCATATAAAATACGCTAAATTATTTAAAAAAAGCTTCCAAGCAGGCATAGACGTCTATAGACGTCTATTCTATATATATATATATATATATATATATATATATATATATATATAGAATATATATATATATATATATATATATATATATATATATATATATATATATATATATATATATATATATATAGAATATATATATATATATATATATATATATATATATATATATATATATATATATATATATATATATATATATATATATATATATTAAATTATCATATTTGTAGAAACTTTCAGAGAAATCTTAAAGCAAATGAAAAATGTTAAGACCATCTGTTTTAAAATTTCTCAAAGAAAGAAAAAAAAAGTTTGTGTTTTTTCATCATTCTCTTTTTTTTTCAGAAAGTTGTTCAAACATGTCACAATGAGCACAGCTTTTTAAACTAAAAATGTTCTCAAACAACAACAACAATAACAACAACAACAACAACAAATGAGTGTAAAGTTTCCTGGTTTTGGTTGTAAAGAATCACTTGACTGTTTACACCCATAAATTGTAAAAATTTATAGGTGTAAATATTTTTGCATCCATAATTTTCTTCAACGTTATTTATTTTATAATAAAAGGAACTTATTTCAAACAAATTTTAATTATCAAATAAAGGACGTTACAGCATAAAATAAATTATTATAGAAAAATAACTAAAAAATAGATTTTCCAAAAAAGAACTTTACTTGAATCAAAATAATTTAAATAAAATTATCTTTTAAGAAAATTATTTGGGCAACTTATAAATTATAATAATATAATAAATTGTATGTGATAATTACTTTTTATGATGCTAATTATTAACATAAAAATTCGCATGATACCTATACATCGGCCAACGCCATCTTTGTTAGTTTGGCAAATAAGCTCTTCTCGACATTTTCCTTGAATGTCCATATAACCACCACAAGTATCGCTTTCACCTTTAGCACAAACATGACAACAATTGCACGAGTCCATTATCATTCCAGATTTGCAAAAATTTGATAAAGTTTTTTCTCCTATACAAATTACATGACTGCATGATTTGGGACACGATGAAAGCGCAACCAACAATTTTATCAATTGAACAAATATATAAAAAACTAATACTTGCATGTTGTTATACAAAACTTTGAATTATAACTAACTTTGACACCAAAAAATTTAATAAATTCAAACATTTCCCGTTTTTATGTGTTTGTTTAAATGAGCAACGTCATTTTTGTTTCATCTACGCGGCACAATTAGTAATTTTATTTTTGTTATATACATTACAAGAGGAAACAGATAAAAATCTGGTTCGTCGGAAATATAGCAAACTAATGAAAATAGAAATCAAGATTAAAAAACAATTAATACAATCAGAAAGTTCGTCTTTATTATGAGTTAACAAACCATAAAACACGATAAAATCACCGACAAACGGCTACTCACAACCGCATAAAGGAAATGAAAAAGTAATTAACTTTAATCAATTAAAAGTTTGATTGTTTATATTACACAAAATAGTTGGTAATTGAAAAAACTTGTTTTGAAAACATTTTCAAGTCTTTTTTCTAGTTCTTATTAAACTAGTGAAAAGGGTTTTTATACATCTCTTTAAATCTTTCTCCCTTTTTATACATTTAATCTCTTCAATAGGGTTTACATTTTTAAACCTCTTCAAATATCTCTCCCTTTTTAAATGTTTAATCTCTTTAAATATTTCTCCCTTTAACTTTTAATCTTTTTTTTTTAATCAATTTTTTAAATTTTTGATGTTTTTTTTTTAGCTTTTGATATTTTTAATAGCTTTTGACATTTCAATTCATTCATTGACATTTTTTCAAATTAAAAACTGACCTCAAAAAGTAGTCTAGACACCAAGGTTGTAAACTGAGTTGGTGTTTTTATGATAATATAATTAATCAATACTATAACGTAATGCAATGTATACTTGGTTGACATATTTGGTCATTGCCGGGAGCATCTTTTTTTCAGTTTACAGTAAAAAACTAAAGGATAAGGAGCTATTAGTAACGGTATATATTGTTAGATTAAAAATATTGCGCGCACGCCTTCATAAAATATATAACGGTTAAAATTGAATTAACAAGAAGATTTATAAAAGAAATGAATTTTTGAAATATTTTCATAATACATTAGACTTTAAATAAAACTTTCGGTTATGATGCATTGCTCTAAAAGTTAATTAGCTAACTTTTAGATAAAATACTTTGGTATTAATAACTTTTGTAGTGACGAATTACCGGGTTTTTAATTTGGTTTAATTGAACTTAAATTCCTTTGAGTATTTTACACACATTAAAACAATTGTTTACACATATTAAACAAATTGAATAAAAAAAAAGTTATATCAATTCGCTATTAAATATTAAGTTTATAAATAAAACTATGTAAAGGAGCGCGACGTTCATATTATTTTACGGTTTATGGTATAGCGAGCATAAAATTGTACGACTAATTGCTCGCTTAGATTTCTGAGCAGTTAAGAGAATTTAATGCAGTTGTCCGATGTTTAAAGGTGAGTTTCCACTCATCCGTTTTTTTACGGGAACGGGATAGGGAAGGAAAAAATAATCACGTGGGCATGCGTAGTATAAGTTTTAATATGTCCTAAGGAAAACTACGCATGCTCACGAGATTATTTTTCCCGTCCCTTTCCCGTTCCCGTGAAAAAATGGATGAGTGGAAACTCGCCTTAATAAAATAGTTCTGAAACAAGCAAAGAAATAATAGTGTAGTAAGAGTTATAAAAAAGTAAACAAAAAATAATTAAATCAAAAAATTATATAAAATGATTTTTTTTTGTCTACGATTGATAAAATTGCCGCATAGTTTTTTTGTTATGTCTATGTGCTGCATCGGTATTTTTTTGTGTTATTTATATGTTATTTAAACTATTAACCGTCTATCATTAATAAAAAGTTATCATTATCAAAAGTTATAATTGTCTATCACTAATAAAATCTAGTTTTATTGACTATAAACTCTTTTGAGGTCATTCATTTATTACTGAAAATCTTATTTGCATTTAGAATGATATATATATATATATATATATATATATATATATATATATATATATATATATATATATATATATATATATATATATATATATATATATATATATATATATATATATATCCAGCCGGCACAACTCAGGAAAAAGTTACGCTTGGTTTCTGCTGCAAGTTAATCAATCAATTAATCATTCAATTATATATTCTGGAAAAAAAGATTTAACTTCCACGGTCGTTACAAATAGTTATAAAAACTAATTTAAAGTAAAAACCTCTTTGATGATATAAAACATATTATAGACACATAGTTATAGAGATAATAAAAATAGCAATAAATTAACAAAACAACAATAAGTATATTATTATATCACCAGTAAGTATAATTAACACCCAATAATAACGATTAAAATAAAAACATGATAATAATAAATACAATACATATATCGCGGAATTGTTAAATAAATAATTAATAGAAGGCTGTTCATTAATTACATCAGCAAAAATTATAAAAACCAGTAACTAAAAGAATTAAATCAATACAATCTTCCATACAACAATCAATTATATATACATATATTACATAGTTACAGTTACAAACAGTAATAAACTGACAAAACGTAACTAATAAAAATGACATAAAAACGATTATTGACTACAAAGACACGATACAAAGACTACAAAGACTCGATAAATATAATAATTTTAGTTTTTATAATATAATAACAAAAATATATTGTGTGTATAATAAACAAATAAAGAAATAAAACAAAAAATAACAATTTAAACAAAAACAATATAACAAAAAATAACAATATAAACAAAAAAAATATATATATATAAACAAAAAAACACTTATTATACATAAAATTAAGGTTAATAAAAGTAAAAAAATGCAAAAAAATACACATCAATATAAACAATGTATTCACTAAACAAAATTTAAAAGTTTTTTCTTGTTCTTTTCTTTTAATGACATTATTGTTTCTGGTAAACTAACGTAATTCATTTCGTATTTTTTTTTTTTTTTTACTCTACATTTTCGAACTATTTTTTCTTTTAACGAATCTTTTTTTTCTATTTGGTACGTTATTTTGACTTGCTTTTTATCTTTATTTGTTTATATCTTTTGATCTTGTTTTTACTTCATTTTGTTTTATAATTTGATATTTTTAAAATGATATTTTGATTTTTTTTCCTCCATTTTATTTCTTTCCTTTTTTTCCGTTAAATCAAAACATCCTCCATTTGCGATGTCATTGCAAAGAACGAAAAATTAATTAGAATTAAAACCTTCAAAAAACAAAAAGAATAACCCGTGCCAAAAATAGTTTTCGTTCCGTGAAATTAACTTTAACTATTTACCATAAATACTAGTTAAAATATTAATAGTTTCACCGTTACGGAATTATATTACGATACTATACTAACTTTCCGTTAGTAATGTGAAACCACTGATAAAAATCATGCAACATTTAAATTTGTCTTCAATAGAACCTCAAAAAACACTTGTTAAAATCTAGTTAAACTACCCGTCTTTTTGGTTTACGCCGGGATCGTAAACCAAAAACACGTGTATAAAAACCTCTATAGACGCGTGTCTATAGAGGTTTTAATTCCAAAAAAGAAACTAGATGTGCCGGTCGCATATATATATATATATATATATATATATATATATATATATATATATATATATATATATATATATATATATATATATATATATGGAAAAAATTTTCCGCAAAAGTTCTTGTAATTAAATAATAAAGAAACATCGTTAAAATCAGACAAGCTTTATTTATTGATATTAAGATTAAAGTTAAAAAAAAAAAACATAAACAAGTTTGAAACTAAGCAGAAAACTTAACTCATCTTTAAATAAAAAAAAAATTAATTCGTATATTGCGTGCGTGTTATATATCTTTTTATATCTTATATATATAAAATATCTTCTTTAATTTATAGATCGAAGCACGACTAAAACGCGTTTTATTTAAGACATTTAGCATGAACTTGAATATAGTGTGAATAGCTATGTATTTTTTTATTAATAACGTTTTATGTCTATTATTTTTTTTCATTTTACAAATAAGTTCTTTTCATACTGAAGTACTTTATTCACTTATATTATCTTATTAAATGTAATTTGAAAAAAGTAACGTTCTAAATGTATTTTAAACGTTTTTAAAACGTTTTCTAAACATTCTTCCGTAAAGAACGTTTAAAAGACGTTTAGAACGTAACATTTAAAAACAAATCGTCGTAGGGTTATATTCAAACTCAAAACATGTTTTATTATTTTATTATAAAAGAATAAAATTGTATATAAAAGTTGTAAATAAAAATTGTGCATAAAATTTTTTTAATCTTTAAAACAATTCTTAGACAATTTATATAAACTGAAAACATATTTTACCATTTTATTTTAAAGAATAAATTGTATTTGAAAAAAAAATTTAATCTACAATTTTAAGACAAAAAATATTTAAAGACTTTTTGTCCACGACCTTTAATAACACAGGTCACCAAAAAAAAAAAAAAAAATCTTCTGGTGCCGAGCAAACAAATTGTTTTTTGTATAGCATTTCTCATTTTGATTTCAAATATGCAACTCATTTTTCATCATCGCGTCAAGTTGTAAAGATATTTGGGTTCAAATCTTTAGTATTTGGGGTAAAGACCCTAATATTGTCGGAAAAAAAAGTTATTAAAAAGAATGTCAACCTGGGTCTCAAAAGAAGCGTATTTTCATAGATTTAACAAAATGTTTCTCAGCAATAATACAAAAAGTACTTATTTTTATTACGAACGAATAACATGAAAATACACTTTATGAAAATACACTTCTTTTGATATCCAGGTTGACATTCTTTTGGGGCCCAGGTTGACATTCTTTTTTTCCGACAATATTAGGAACTTTACCCCAAATACTAAAGATTTGAACCCAAATATCTTTACAATTTGACGTGATGGTGAAAAATGAGTATTTGAAATCAAAATGAGAAATGCTATACAAAAAACAAATTGTTTGCTCGACACCAGAAGATTTTTTTTTTGTTGTTGACCTGTGTTATTAAAAGTCGTGGACAAAAAGTCTTTAAATGTTTTTTGTCTTAGAATTGTAGATTAAATTGAAGGCAAAATCCTACCTGAACTATATGTTATTTTCCTTTTTATTAAGTTAGCATAAAAATTAATACAAATTTCCATTAGATTACTTTATAATTTACTTGCATATTTAATTGCCCACCACCCCCACCACCTAGTCACAATAACCACTAAAAATAATCTTGACATTCTACATAACGACTTACTTAATTTGTCTAAGTCAATATTATACCACTCACTAAAAAGTTTTTTACCACATTTTTTTGCATCATTAGCCATTAATTTTTGCCATTAATTTTCATTTTTTTCATAAAAGTCCTAAAGGTCTGGTGATTGGGGAGGCCAAATCATAGTATTCGATATTTGATCTCTTATTCAGTCGACTCATACAATGTTCTAAAGATTATGTTTCGGATTTAAGATTTGGGTTGTTTTCTACTAAAAAAAAAAGGCTTCCTATTAATCCAACTTTAAAAATGAAAAACATGACTTTTTAAAAATGTCTGAATAAACTACTTTTGTCTTATATCTTCTGTTTTTACAGAAACATGGTAAATGTAGCGTTTTTGGCGAAACATAGTAGATGTAGCGTTAAGCAGTGGGCTGTTTTGGTCGAAATGCCACCTGTTGCATTTCGACCAAAACAGCCCACTGCTTAACGCTACATCTACCATGTTTCGCAGCTTAACGCTACACCTGCCATGTTTCACAGCTTAACGCTACATCTACCATGTTTCATAGTCGATAGTAGACACTGCTTTATGATACGTTTAACAATTTTTCTTTGGATTAAAAATCATCTCTTGAAAACATAGATTTAAAACTTGGACACGTTGGTCCACATTTACCGTCGTTAATGTTCCATTTTTATGTAGTTTTGCCCATATTTTTATAATTTTTGTAATTTTTAATAAATCATTTTAATTAAAATACTTTTATGTTTATTAAATTAACTACTAGTGCAAAAAAATAAAAAAAATAAAATAAAAATTATTAAAGTATTTTTAAGTAAAGTTTATGTCATTCAAATAATTATGGATGGTAATTCAACAGTTATACAGCAAAACTTCTAGCAAATAAACCTCATCATGGAAACCCTCTTTTATGGTATGCAGAATGTGAAATATCTAAAACAATTTTTAAATTTTAATTTTAATGCTTCAAATAAGAGAAGCTTTGGATTGATATGAATTTTATTCTTTTAATATTATTATAAAAATAAATTTGATATTAGATGCATTGTTTGACAATCTTCATTACATCAGGATTCTCTAACGCAGCAGCAACTCTTTCTTTATCGTTCATTTGCTTGTTAACTGGAAAAAATTTGGCACATCAAATCAGTTTAGTTAATTATTTTAGTAAAAAATTAGTAATATTACTATTACTTCTGAGACTTTTAAATGTTTAAATCAAAAACATTTATAATAACAGTAATTAAAGTTATTTAAAAATATACTTGCGTCAGCTTTATAATGTGTATTTTCTTTTATGTTGATATCGAGCTACAACAACAACAACAACAACAATATATATATATATATATATATATATATATATATATATATATATATATATATATACAGCTTTTAAAACAAGGCAATACAGTTTATTTTAAAATTCAAAGTGCATTTATTAATGACAATAAAAAAGTGCAATTACAACTAGAAAAAAGGTCTGAGAGAAAATCTGATCTCGAAAAAATTTGACTGCTCAACATAGCTACTCAGGTAGTTTAAGGCCAGTCTCCGTAAATTTCGGGCTTCTTTCGTTTGTGTGCGGGTGACGTGGCTTTTTATCGTTCATATCTCGCGGGAGAATTCCAAAACGCTAATTTAAATTATATCGATGATATTTTGACCTTAAAAGTCCGACATCAAAAGTTTCTTTCGCTATTTTGAATTTATAACATTGCAATGTGAACATTGTGAACAATACAATGTGAACAATATAACAAATACATTGCTCATAAATTAAATCTTGATATTTTTAATTGGTTATAGATAGCTTAAATTGGATGTAAATAGTATTTTAGTGTGTTCTACAAAATCATTGAGCAGTGTTTTTGTTTACATTGTTCTTAAAGAACAGAGCAGTAATAAACGATAAAAAGATACAAGTTTGATTATGGAAGTCTATATACATAATATAGTATATTATAATAAATAGTGTATAGTTATAAATAATATGTAATCTAATATAATTATTGAATTGAATTTATAGTATATGTTATTTTATAATACTGCTACATAATATTATATTAACTTCCATAATCAAGTTTGAATTTTTCTATCATCTATTATTACCCTGTAATAATATTCAACATATAGTATACATCTGATAATGAAAATCTTTATAAATAAATTTTATTAATCAAATTTATATATATATATATATATATATATATATATATATATATATATATATATATATATATATATATATATATATAATGTTAGAATATTTTACAAATAGAATGCTCAAATTTCTTAATAAACTGACCATTAATAAAGTGGTTAAAAATATTGATCTAATATTTTTTCTTCAACTTGTCTATAAGACCATCAGTGTAATATCAGGTTGCATTTTATTATATATATATATATATATATATATATATATATATATATATATATATATATATATATATATATATATATATATAAATTAAATAAAATCTCAACATCACGTTTTATTTCACACGGCATAAACATTTTTGTTTTTACGGCCATCAAAAAGCCTTAAAATAATAAAATCGCAAAGTATTACCGCATTCCCTACACGTCGTTTAAAGAAATGACAAGTTGTCGGGTTTTCTAGCTGACCATCTAAATAAAATTATGGAACAATAATAGAATACAATATGGATATCTTTTAGGCTTTAGATTACTGGAAAAGTTGTCCCTAATGATTTTACTTTCTACTTTTTTAAATATTCTTTTTTTAGTTTAAAAGCAATTTACGTCAACCCTTATAACGTCGACAATAAAATTTTTTTTTATTTGGGACAACTTTTGCTAGATATTATTCAGTTCAGCCAACAATTTTTGAAAAACGGTTTCATTTAAATAAAACATGTAGAAGGTCAGTCGAACTACTATAAAAATTTGGACTGGCCTTAAACCACCTGAGTAAGGCGAATCAGTAAAACCTGAATCGGAATTTTTTCTAAAAATTTAATCTTTGACTATCTATAACTTAAATTTTAAATGAAATAAAACAAATGAACATTTATTTTTGTGCAACTACTTCTGCTGTGTTTTTTTGAAATTCCTTAAAGATTTTTTTTTTTTTATACAGAATTTAAGATGTTTATAAAGTCTCTTTTTTAATATCTTTGGGATTTTGCTTAGTCGGTTTCAAATTGTTTTCAAATGAAATCGGTTTTAACTCGGCTTCGAATTGTTTTCAAATGAAATTAAAAAACTTAATTTGGACATGATTATTGATCAAAAGAATTTTCATAAAGTGTTTGAGTCCATAAATTTCCTAAAAAACTTTTTTCACTCAAAGTCATGTTCTCCGCTTAGTAAGTAAAACAATAAACTATTTACTTTTAGTTGTTTTTACATCTATTTCATTCTTTTGTCCTAAAGTCTTTGGAATAGTTAGAATAATTCCAGCACCGAGCAAAGTATAAACTCAAAAATAGCATTCAAGAACTTGAGATTTCACAGGTATGAAAATGAAGCAAAAGTTGGAATTCCATAATATGTCGAAGTTATCTTGATATTACATTTTAAATAAATTTTAAAAGATTGCTTGTAGTCCACCGTTAAATCCTTGGTGCTTTTTCTTTAAAAAGCCTTTAAATATCGTTTATTTAACAGACCATATATTTTACGGAAAATTCTTGATTGTTTGACGACAATTTATTGAAAAGCACCTTAACTACAATGAGTATCAGAAAAAACTTTACTGTGATATTTTTAAAATCAAAAACTAAACTTACCACCGTCTCTTAACAATTAATCAAGTTAGAAAATAAGAATTGAGTGAATTTAATTCTTATATACCCTTATTAAATTTACCACAAATTTATCCAAAATGAACAGGTATAAAAATACATTTTTGAAAAAGAAATCAATTTTAGTGATTTTATATATGTTTTATATTCACATTATTTATAAATAAAAAAAAAACAGCACATTAAAGAATTGTTTTTCTTAAATTATGCAAAAGATATACTAGACTTAACAAACATTGCTATTTTGGTAGTAATGTGCAAAATCTTGTAAACACTATTTCTATTTCTGGGTTCTTGCTTTTGTTCTAATGCTAACTTATTTGCAGTCTGAGGTACTTAGTTTGTTACTTTTTTTATTGACCAGTCAGTTAATGCAAGAATAGTCAACTGTATTTTTTAGAATGTTGATGTTTAAAGTAATATAACGTACAACAAATAATGTTGCTGTAAATTTTGTAAATTAACAATACTATCATGTTACCAAATGAGTTTGCTTTTAATATATACTTGTTACCAAAACTAGACTGTTCTTCAAAACTTTCTTCAGATATGTTAAGGGAAGTGGCTACCTTTGTTTTAACGGAGGTTGTTAATGCTCTCAATTTTTGTTTACCTTCTCTTATTTTACCACACTTATACAATTCTTTTACCTTATTAGGAGATACTCCAGCAGGTGTAAATTGTAAATCAATACCCTCTTATTTATTTTGAGTTAATGTTTCATTAGGAATATCAAAATCTTCATCATTTTCATTTTTAATATTATTTTAATATTATTCAAGCTTTTTGATAAATGTTTTATCACTCTACTTTTATGACACAACTTTTTCAGGGTATAAGATTCAAACATGTTATTAACCATGAGAAAATATATATATATATATTTTTTACCTCTAAACAGCTTTTGGTGTGTCAGAAATTTCATTACTCTCATACCTTGTAACATTTCATGATGGTGAGTAACCAACATTTCATGATGGTGAGTAACCAACATTTCATAATGGTAACTAACATTTCATGATGGTGAGTAACCAACATTTCATAATGGTAACTAACATTTCATGATGGTGAGTAACCAACATTTCATGATGGTGAGTAACCAATATTTCATGATGGTGAGTAACCAACATTTCATGATGGTAACTAACATTTTATGATGGTGAGTAAATAACATTTCATGATGGTGAGTAACCAATATTTCATGATGGTGAGTAACCAATATTTCATGATGGTGAGTAACCAACATTTCATGATGGTAACTAATATTTCATGATGGTGAGTAAATAACATTTCATGATGGTGAGTAACCAACATTTCATGATGGTGTGTAACTAACATTTCATGATGGTAACTAAAATTTCATAATGGTGAGTAACCAACATTTCATGATGGTAACTAACATTTTATGACGGTGAGTACAGATACTAGCAATTTGTACTTTTTTCATATTTGTTTGTTTTACAAGTGATCATTCCTGTCATAATCTTCAATCAGATTTCTTACTTGGGAATATGATTATTTATAACACCATCCATAATTATAGGCAAAGTAAAAAACTAATTTTTTTGTCCATATAAAACTACAATTAAGAACCACAATCTAAACACTTAAATAAAAGGAGAATACAATGTCCCTAATAAACAAAATACACTTGAACATAAACAATAAGTCCTTAATAAAAATAAACATTTACAAGGAACATATTGCTAGAACAAATCACTATTAGTTCAAAGATTTTCTGAATCTTTAATAAAATCAAAATCAGTCAGATTTTTTCTAGAGCTATAGTTGTCAATGATCTTTTTAATTGTCATTATTGAGTGCATTTTCTAGATCTTAAAAAAAATTATGATGCTTTGATTTAACAAAGTCTAAAGGTTTAAAATTTGATCTTAAACAAATAAAAGTTTTATGAAGAAAAATTAAACTTCCTCCTAACTTACATTTCTAAACAAATTTCAGTGATTTTTGTTATTATAATGTTTTGTCTTATTTATTATGAAGGGAATTCAACATTGGTTTTTATTTAATATTTATTTCAATATTTGTATATTAAATTATTACAACTAGTTTAAACATAAAACTATGTGTAGCTTCATGTCGAAACTCCAACTGTCATTAGGTTCAGTGCAACGGCTTTTTTGCGAGAATTCCTTGTGCAAAATTCTCTCAAGGTAATACTTTCGTAATCAGTTTTTGTGCAATTTGCAAAAGGGAATTGCTTGTTTTGCAATTGCTGATTGCTATTCTGAAATAGCATTATAAACGATTGTTCAGAGGGAACAATCGTTTATAATGCTATTTTTATTTGTTTTGCGTAACAATCATTACGCCTTCCTTCTTTTAAAAATGCATTTCGTAATCAATGTAATGTTTCGGCTTCCTCGAAATCCTTTCTGATCGCGCAATGGCGTGGTCTGATGGTTCATCTTGATTTGTAATTAGATCAATGTTTGTGTTATTTGACAGTTTTCTTTTACCCATGAATATGTCTTTTGATTCATTCATATCACTTTCATTATCGGATAAATTGACAAT